TAAGAAACAACTTATCAAACCAAACCTAGAAACAAAACTGCCGTGGACCAAATATCTCCCAATAGTTCTCCTTAGGATTAGGATGGCTCCAAGGAAAGATGTGGGACTATCCTCTTATGAAATGTTATATGGGCTCTTGTACCTGGGCAGGACTGTTGATCTTCCTACCACAGAGATCAAAGATAAATTTTTAAGGAAGTACATACTGGCCACATCTTCTACTCTGTCATCCCTTAGGCTAAAGGGACTCCTAGCCCAGAGCCCCCATTCTTCTATTTGCAGTTCATCACTTCCAGCCTAGTGACCTGGTCCTGCTCAAGACTTGGAAGGTGGATAAGCTCCAACCCATCTGTGAAGGCCCCTGTCAAGTGCTCCTTACCACTGAGACAGCTCTACAAACCATTGAAAACAGGTGAAGTTATTATACTTTGAACTAAAAGATTGGTAAAAGAGGCCCAAGATAAAAGTGCCTACAGACCAGTGGGAAGTATATGGATTGTTAAAGGAACCCTTAAATGTTATTCTAAAGAAAAAGTCAGATAGGCCCATCCCTTAACTCCAGCTATGGGCTCTCTCTCTCTCTCTCTCTCTCTCTAAGTTGCTCTGATGTAGATGGGTTATTATGTAAAATGTAAGCTCTGAATACTCAGTTAAGCTGTTAATTAAAATAACCAAGACCGACAAACCCCAAACTATCAAATGGCCAAAAAACACATGAAAAAATGCTTGTCTCTAGCCATAAAGGAAATGCAAATCAAAACCACACTAAGATTCCACCTCACTCTGTTAAAATACCCATCATCAAAAACATGCATTGGTGAGAATGTGGGAAAAAAGGAACCCTAATCCACTGCTGGTGGGAATGCAGGCTGGTGCAACCACTCTGGAAAAAAATTTGGAGGCTTCTTAAAAATCTAAACATAAATCTGCCATATGATCCAGCAATCCCACTCCTGGGGATATACCCAAAAGAATGCAACACAGGTTACTCCAGAGACACCTGCACACCCATGTTCATTGCAGCACTATTCACAATAGCCAAGTTATGGAAACAACCAAGATGCCCCACTATTGATGAATGAATCAAGAAAATGTGGTACTTGTACACAATGGAATTTTACTCAGCCATGAAGAAGAATGAAATCTTATCATCTGCAGGTAAATGGATGGAACTGGAGAATATGGCCCATTGATCCATCCATAGTCAGGGAAATGGGGGTTTCCAATGAGTTCTATCATGAGTTCTGCAGTGTTAGAAATGTACAGATTAATTAGACCTTGTGCCTACTTTCAAGGCAGTTTCCATGGACTTAGAGAAGAATATATACAAAAAAAGAAATTCATGATATTAAGAACTTAATCTAAAAAAAAATCTTTCATTTATGGTAAACTCAAGATAACTGAAATGAAGTTTTGTAACCTATAGATTCATAGAGTTGAGTTTCTTTCTACCTTATGATAGTGCCCCTGTCTAGGCCACTGCCATCTCTCTGAGGTCTTGCATGGAAGGGCCTGTCCCAGGTAGTCCTCTTTGTTTCCTTAATCATGGCCTCTGTAGGCAAGCAGCCTTGTCCCAGGATGCCATCTGGAAAAACGCTTAGAAATCTGAGCCCTGACTGAGCATGGAAGCTGCACAGCAGCAACTGACAAGGTAGCTTGTTCCCCAAAACCTATCAGGATAGAAAAGATGAGCCCTACACTGACTCCTGCAGTATCCTGTGACAGGCTGGGACCAGTCATCTGCCTCTAATAGACAAAGACCCTCTTCTTCCTCTAAAGTACTTTGGAAATAACTAAGCTACCCTTCAAAATGTGTTCAAGAGATTTCCAATAAAATTTTTCCTGCATTTTAAATAAAATATCAGAATTTTCTATCATTTTTAGGACTAAATAACATTCTATTTTTCTATTCTATTAATCTGTTAATGGCTTAATAAAAGAAATGCAAATCAAAACCACATAAATATTCCACCTCACTCCTGTTAGAATAGCTACCATCAAGAACACAAACAACAACAAATGTTGTTGAGGATATGGGGAAAAAGGAACCCTCAGAAAGTGCTGATGGGAATGTAAATTAGTACAACCACTATGGAAAACGTATGATCCAGCAATTCCACTCCTAGGGATATACCCAGAAGAATGTAAGTCAAGTTATAATAAAGGCACCCATGTTTATTGCAGCACTATTCACAATAGCTAAGCCATGGAAACAGCCAAGATACCTCACTAATGATGAATGGATCTAGGAAATGTGATATTTACATACAGCGGAATTTTATTCAGCCTCAAGGAAGAGTGAAATTTTTGACATTTGCAAGTAAATCAATGGACTTGGAGAACATAATCTTAAAGTGAACTCAGCCAGGTGCAAAAGGCCAAAAATCGCATGTTCTCTCTCATATGTGGAATATAGACCTAATACAAATGCAACAGTACTATGAAAAACAGGTCACGCTAAGGGAGGTCACATATGAAAGAGGGAGGGTAAAAGAAGGAAGTTAAAAAGATGAATATGGCTGATATATTCTTTATACAAAAATGAATATAGAATTTATAAACTGATTGAAACTACCGTAAGAAAGGCACTAAGGTAGAAAGAAGAAAAATAGAGGAGAATGAACTGAATCAGGCTATAATACATATAAACATGGAGGTGACACAAGGAAACTCCAAGCATAGCCATCTTAAACAACCAAAAATGTCGTTTTTTCTTCTTCTTCATTTCTTACACAAAATTAGAGAACAGGAGAGCGAAACATTTCCTGCCTGGGAGGTTGCTACCAGTGCAAGGGGGGAGGAGGTGGGAAAATGGCAAAGGGTGTGTATAGTGTAAATACTGTATACACATGTGTGTAAATGGAAAAATGATATCTACTGAAACTATTCCAGGATGGGGGAAGGGAGATGAAGGAGAATGGTGGAGAAGGTGATTTCAAGTATGATATATTTGATATATTGCAAAGCTTTTATAAATTTGACAATGTACCCCTACTCAGCACAACAATTAAAAAAAACCACATTGGTCTTTTTAAAGTTAAAAAACCCAGTCTGTTAATGGCTATTCTTACATGAATTTATTAATGTGTCTTTACTCCTTACCTATTATGAGTAATGCTGCAATAAATGTGGAATTATTAATATGTTTTTGAGATTTATATTTTTGTTCCATTAGGTATTAACCCAGAAGTGATGCTGCTGGAACATAATCATTCTATTTTTAGTTCTTTGAGGATCCTCCATACTTTAGATTCATTTGGAAAGTCATGATTATTTTAAACTGGAAAGATGCAATGATCTATATATTTTTAAAATGCTTCTAAATCAAGCTGCATAAAAGATTTTCTAAAACCAAGTATTACTGGCAGAAATTTACTACAGGAAATTTATGTGTGTGTGCAATAAACACATATTAAGCATCTGCATTTGTTGGGTACTATATTTAGAAAAGTATAAACATAAAATGCATCAACTCACAAGGCACTGACAATACATTTAAGATACACATATTGAAAAATAACATGCAAAAAAAGAAAAATAACATTCAGCATATATAATTAGTTGTGTTAGAAATGTGAGTAAACATTAAGGGAGGAAAAAATCATTTTTTCCCTGAAGGCTTAGAAAAAAAGTAATATTTATTTTGTCTTCTACCTTAGACTATTCAATCTTCAGTTTCTATTTACCATGGCTCTGATAGCCTTGTTACAGAAAATTCATTACAAAGTCACTGATATTTTCACTGAATCCTTATTAAAAATAGCATGTTTTGAATAATGTAATTCTATTTCAAAGTCATTTTTTGTTTTATAAAATTTATTCACACCCCTTACCCAAGGCTATAATTGAGACAGAATAATTCCTAGATGCTCATAAAATTTAAATATTTTTAATAGTTATAAACATTAACTCATTATAACAAATCACTCCCTCTTAGAAGTTTTTTGAAATTAAACAACATACAAATCATTTTGGTAGTCTTCTATGGAATTTTAATAGTACTCTGAAAATCTGAGGATTGTTTTTATCAACTCTAACAAGGCATAGACACTCTTAACCATAGAACTGTGTGTCGTTTTGCTTCATCTTCTTAATAAGGGAGACACTCTGACATCACTCTTTAGTGCACAGAGATCTATGGGAGACCAGGCCTAGACTAGCTTCATGACTATTGCATCATTAGAAGAATATGATATGTTTAAATAGTCAATTTCATTTATCTGTAAATAGCTGAAAGAGTCATAAATACAATAGGTATTATAAATCCCTATTTAATACTTCCTAATTTAAATGTTGTGCATATTAGGTTATATTATAAAGATGAGATATATAAGAGGTAATAACACTGTAAAATTCAGAGAAGAAAGAAATGTCATGAAAAATTAAGGAGTCCATGAAAAACATATAAGAAAACTAAAGTAAAATTTAAATATGTAATAATTTCAGGCAGGGGTAACCAAGGTAAAGTTTGCAAAATTTCAGATCGCTTTTAGATTATTTAGCTTCTCTTGCTTAATTTTTATTCCTCCCAAAGTAAGATTACTGCACCCAGTCCATTTCCTTAGGGACCCTGTGACACTTTAAAATGAAAGGCACAACTGTGGTACCAAACAGAATAATGAGCTCCATATTTCATCTTCTCCTTAGGGTGGAACCAGACACAGAAGCACTGCACACTGTGATCATTCATCTTCACTCGTGAGGACTGAGCAGAGACTCCAGGAAGTCTAGCCTGCCATCTAAATACCATGCACCCACTAGCATTACTATTCCTGCATAAAACTCCCTATTTTTCTGAAATCCTTCATCACTGGAATGAAAAGCCCACATCTAGACAACAGAATTTTGCCCTAAAGAAAAAAGAATCTCTGTTTTTTACTTAAAGGATTTGTACTGAGTTTTCTTTTTTTTCCAAAGCAGAAAAACATTAATATAAGTTCAACCATCATAAAATTGTTTTATTTTCAAATTTCCATAAAAATGTTTTAGACCATTTATTAATGTCTGCTTTCTCTATCTCAAACTCCAGTAGCTCCAGATTTTTTCTCACTGGTTTTCCTGGCCTAGAAGTTTACTATGTCTGGATCTCCATCCCTTTTTCCCTCATCTATGCCATAGTGTTTCTGGGAAACAGCATGGTGCTCCATGTGATCTGGACTGAGCCAAGCCTGCACCAGCCCATGTTCTACTTCCTGGCCATGCTGGCTGTCACTGACCTTTGCATGGGGTTGTCTACTGTGCACACAGTGCTAGGGATTCTGTGGGGTTTTACTGAAGCCATCACCCTTGATTCCTGCATTGCCCAGTCTTATTTTATTCATGGTCTATCATGCATGGAGTCCTCTGTCCTCCTCTCCATGGCTTTTGACCGCTACATTGCCATTTGTAACCCACTACGCTATTCCTCCATCTTAACAAATGACAAAATCATGAAAATTGAGGTGACGATTTTATGTAGAAGTTCTTTGCTCATTCTTCCAGGCATCATCCGGCTGAAGTTCTTAGATTACTGCCGTCCTCATTTCCTCTCTCATTCTTTCTGCCTGCACCAAGACTTGATTCGAATGACCTGTTCAGACAGTCGCTTCAACAGCATCTACGCTCTGGCTCTGGTGATCTGCACGCTCCTGTTGGATGTGGTGCTCATACTTATGTCTTACATCAAAATTTTGCACACAGTTTTAAACATCGCATCCTGGGAGGAGAGACTCAAGTCCTTGCAGACTTGTTTATCTCACATCTGTGCTGTTTCTGTTTTTTATATCCCAATCATCGGTCTGACTATGGTACATCGCTTTGGGAAACACCTCTCACCACTGGTTCATGTCTTTATGGGTAACATCTATATCCTTTTTCCACCCTTGATGAATCCCATTATTTATAGTATCAAAACCCAACAGATACGCATGAGAATCCAGAGACTGTTGTACTTGAAAGTAGCCTAAGTCCTAAGATGGAATTTGAATGAAATTAAAAGTGAAGGTGTCAGTTAAAAAGAGTGAGAGTCAGTAAGTAAATTAAAATAGATTTACTAACTTCTATTGGAATTATCTCTTACATGTTACAAATACTTTCCTCTCTGTTTTTCCCTAGCTATCATACATCAGTGAATTTGATAAATATAATATACTAATAAATTTTATAAATAAGAATATGCTTGCACAATGAACTGATAATTGTACTGATAAGTGAAGTAGATTTTCTCACTAAACTATACATAATTATGGCTCAGGTATTTCTGTATCATCCAGTCTCAAAAAGTTAAATTTTGGTGACTAAAATAGTTCCAACTTATTATTGAAATATCAAGTATCATATTAGTCCATTTTTATTATTCTAAGGACCATATTTATTTTTTATTCGTGTTCCATCCCACCCTGTCCAGCTACATGGGTAAATAATGGAGTGAGCACTATGGAGAAATTAGAATATCAACATGATTTAAAAAACGGTGAAACAAGTGCAATCTTGATTACTGATTGTCTACCCACTCAGCAGTCTCCCCAGCTCTACCAACTGTAAGTGAGCTGCAAATATAAAACTCCAGCAGCTGCCAGAGTACAAAGGAACAAGGTTCATGATTTCTTTATTTATCCAAATATTAATAACTATTGTCAATACCATTTTAATCATTTGGAAATGTTTACTTGGAGTTTATATTTTTGTCTTATCTCATTTATATCCCTGGTACCAATTAAAAAATAAAGTACCTTGGCTGTTACTATGAAAAGTAATGAGAATGTATTTCTAACTTAATCTTTGCATCAAGATTCTAAGATTGTTATTTTCTATTATAGAAATAGATTTTAGTATAAATATAAGGAAATTAATATGAATAATTTTACTGGATATTTCATGATGAGATTGAATATTTTTTCCTCTTGTTTGCATGTTTACATTAGTGTAATGTCTTACTTTAATGGTTAGTTGACCACCATAAAGAATTAACATGATAAGTAAAAATACAAACAGTAATCAAAGTAAAGCATGGTTGGTGATAAAGTGTACACATTTAGACCCCTGTTTGTATACATTAGTTCAAACAATATTCTGGAATCACAGGTATAAATTTACTTAATATTTTAAGGTGGGTTTATTGAGCCATGATTGCAAGTAGTAATTCTTCCCTGTTAGATGTGTATACACAGTTTGATGAGTTTTGAAATGTTTACTTTCATGTAAACACCTCCAGAATCAAGGTACAAAACCATTTTCATTCAGTTGTTTCCCAAAAACTCAAGTTTCTGGCAGCCACTAATTTAATTTCTCCCATATAGATTTGACATAAGGGAGGATCATGTAAATTAAATAGTAGCTAATATAATCTTTCCTGCGTGGATTACTTCATCTATAGTAGTGCTTTTGAGTTTAACACTTATTGCTGCTTATATCAACAGTTAAAATTTTAAATTCTATTTGTCTTTATTTTTTGATTGTATTATATGTAATAAACTGCATATTCATTCACTCATCAGTTGATCCACATTTTACTGTTTTCTTGTTTTGGTTTTTGGGGAAAGCTGTAGTAGACATACATACCCTATGATTATAAAAGAAGTTTTTCCCAAACTTGGTAGAGTTTACTTTTCATGTTCATGTCTTTATTATGACAAATGTGAAAACCACCACAGTAACCATTATAAAGTCTTAAAATAATACTTAGTTTATATTTATTAGATATTTATATGTCAGGTACATAGGAATTATCAGGTAATGATTCTCACTGTTAATCCTCAGAGCAAATCTATGAGGTGAATTATATTCAATTTTGTAGATGAGGACTTTGAGTAAAAGGAATTTTAAATTTCTATAAAATAATAATGGGTAAATTTGGTTTCAGAGTTAGTATTTTATCAAGAATACTACTGGCTCATTTTATGTTTTTGCTACTTCCAAAGTTTTCTGTTAGTTATTGGTGGTGGTGTTCCTGCTGTGAGGTAAAAATTTTAAACTAGTTACTTATCTTATTTTTTTTTTCATTTATTCATATGTGCATACAATGTTTGGGTCATTTCTCCCCCCTACCCCCGTCCCCTCCCTTTCTCCTCTCCCCTCCCTCTCCGCTCCTACACCCTCTCTTCCAGGCAGAAACTGTTTTGCCCTTATCTCTAATTTGTTGAAGAGAGAGTATAAACAATAATAAGAAGCACAAAGGGTTTTTGCTAGTTGAGATAAGGATAGCTATACAGGGAGTTGACTCGCATTGCTTTCCTGTACATATGTGTTACATTCTAAGTTGATTCTTCTTGAACTAACCTTTTCTCTAGATCCTGATCGCCTTGTCCTATCAGCCTCTGTCACTTTAAAGTTTCTGCATTAGTTCCTTTGCATTGAGGACCTCAAATACTATCATGTTTTTTGGGTTTCTGACCTATCCTCATACCTCCCTTGTGTGCTCTCGCCTTATCATGTGACCAAAGTCCAATCCCCTTGCTGTATTTGCCCTTGACCTAAAGTCCATATATGAGGGAAAACATACAATTATTGGTCTTCTGAGCCTGGCTAAACTCACTCAGGATAATGTTCTCCCATTCCATTCATTTACTTGAGAATGATAAGATTTCATTCTTCTTCATGGCTGAATAGAATTCCATTGTGTATAAATACCACATTAAACTAGTTACTGATGCGATTACATGTTTTCCAGTGACTTACCAGCTAAAAACATCATTCAATAGGCCAATATTTTCTGAGTCAAAATTAAGATACATCAATTCCTCTATAGTAAGTTTTCTATGTTGTCCATTAAAGTAAGTGTAAAATGTTTTTTGTCGTTTTTGTAGTGTTATCTTGTTCTTAGTAGCCTTCCTGCTTAAATGTCAATTAATACTCTTGAGGTTAAAAATATTTGTTGTAGTATAACTTAAACTGATTGAATAATTTTCCTATTAATCAGAAGTTGATAGTCTGTGCTAGATTATTCCTTCCCTTCACATGGTTCTACCCCCTCAGTCCCACATCCATCACCTATGACTCACTTTAATGTGAAACTGACATATCTTTAAAGATTATTTGTGAGAATCGGTTGAGCCTCTGGTCCAAGTTGTTCCTTGGCTGACCCACATTGAAAGAGTCTCATTTTGTATCTTGACCCTGTAGGAGGTTCTATCCTTTCTATCCTCTGCTAAATTATGTTAGATTATTTTCTCTTGGATTCATCTGGAGACTCATTCATAACCTTGGCTGTTATTCCACAAGTCCTGACACCTGGCCAATTTTCTCTTACTTTTATGCTAACATTTGTTTTCATAGCCCTTGCAAAAGGCAAACAGGGTGGAGATAACTAATTTGGAAAATTTGGAAATGGATTTGCTATGCTTGTTTGTTAACTACATTGTGGATGTATGTCTCAGAGAGGTAGTCCAGTGTCATGGCCAGCAAATCCCTGATTTTATACACTGCAATGTGTGGATGAAACACATTTGCAAGAGGCAGGCAGCATCAAAGTATATTTTGGAAAATGCAACCAGAGTATTCCTCACATTTTGCGTAAGATGCAAGTACTGTAAACAGTGTCTGCTTCTCCTTCAAGAGGCTCATGGGCTCATGTATGCTTGATTGTGATACCAACCAAAAGCAGAAATTCCCAAAGACAGTGATGATGTACATGGCATAGAAAGCAGTCCCAATCCAGAACTCCACACAAGGGATCTCAATCAGTGCCAACACCAAGGGCAGAAAGACTATGCCATTGACCTTGAGCATGTTGGGTTACAACTCCCAGACTTATACTTCTGATTCAAGATGGCAAGCTAGTTATCTATCTTCTGTTTTCTTTTCTCAACTAGGTAATAGCCAAGTTTTCATTACTCTAACAAAATATCTGATGCAGTCAAATTAAAAATATAAAATGTTTGTTTTGGCCTTCATGGTTACATGATTTATTTGACTTGAGACTTGGCTTGACTCATTTGATTTGAGACTTTGCTTAATTCTTCATCATGTTGGGAACATGTGGCACATAAAGTCTGTCTCATGGTAGCTGGGAAACAAAAACAGAGAGACAGAAAGGGACCTTGATCCCAAAATTCCCTTCAAGAGCATGCTCTCAATGACCTAACTTTCATTCACTTGGCTTTAACTTTCAAAGGTGGTAACACCTCCAAATAGCACCACAGACTGAGGACATGTCTTCAACACAAGATTCTTTGGAAAAATTTCATATAAAAATTATTACAGCAGGTTTTTATGGCTCTTTTAGACATATCCATTTACCAATTAGAAAATTAAGGCGGTCCAAGAAATTACACATAGACTTTCTAAATGTTTTATATCAGATTCCACTATCTTTTCTGTCTTATGTTTCTCTCTCTCTCTTTCTCTCTCTCTGAATCCTCTCTGTCTCTGTCCATCAAACACAGCATATATACATACAAATACTTGTTTACCAGTAGTTTTATACACATACACTCTTGAAAAACACATATTTCTAGTAATGTAAGTAAACATGGCTTTGTATAATCAACTAAAATCTCTTCTGTTGAACACGAATTCAGTTTTTTGTGATAACTAATGGTCATATTGCTTACATTTTCTTTGTGTCTTAATTCAGAAGCATTCATTTAGTCCAGACGTCGGGTTCTATGCAGTGGAAGGAACACTCACTATTTCAGGGGCTTAGAAAGAACCAAGAAAATAAGAACTCTTAAAGGAGCCTCTTTAGTCTTAAGGATCCAATGATTTACTAGAGCATTGTCACATAAAAAGGGTTTTTTAAAAAAAATCCATAAGTGGTTCACACAGATACGGTTTGACAGGGTATTTAAACATTGCTTTTATCCCACAGATAGATGCTAAGGAAAATTTCCATGGAAACTTAGATAAAATTAGATGTTTTAGGTAAACAATACAATTGATACATTAATCAAATTTCCTTAGGAAAATTTACAACTGCAAGTTTTGACTTGGGAAATATTTTTAATTGATAAAATAATGGCCAAAAATG